GACCTAGACTGGCCCTTAAATCCTTCTGTCTTCAGACATTATCTTGAAGCCAGTGCCTCAAGGCTTACTGACGGATCTCCAGGTAGGGCAAAAGAGAACTACCAAGAGAAGAAGAAGAAGGAGGAGGAGGAAGAGGAGGAGGAGAAAGAGGAGGAGGAGGAGGGAAGAGGAGGAAGGAAGGGGGAGAGAGGGAGGAGGGGGAGGAGGAGGGGGGAAAGAGAGCTATAGAAAAGAAACTAGAGAGGCCAGGTTTAGTGAACTTTTAATATATACGATTGTACTAGGAAATAACTGCACATGATTTGAAATTTCAAATAGAATAAAAAGCACCATAGATTTCTAAGTTCTTGAGAATTTTAGACATCACTAGTTCAAGCTCTGCATCCTACAGAGAAAACTCAAAAGAAGTTATTTCTCAAAGCAACACGGGGAAGGAGAAAGAGGTCTCTAGCTTACATGGCCAGTGCAATTTCTATTCTATCACAACGTTTTTACCCTCATGGTAAGCTTCAGAGAAAGCGAAATTATTTCAGTTGTGTTTTCAGTTCACTATTGACTAAATGAGAAATAGAAATCGAGCTCAGCGGAATTTCAGGGCCACAGTTCCATCACTGCAGGGTCAGTTCCATTGGCAGGAAATTCCTGAAGGTGTGGGCAGAGACAGGTTCTCCTGGAAATGTAGAGAGAATGGGAGAAAGGCCCTGTACATTGGTCCTTGACAGATGTGGAACTGAAATCTTTCAACATCAGGATGAAGACGTTGTACCTTAATTTTGAATCTAATAAACCTTTCAGATATCATATTTAACACAGAATTGAACTTCAATGTAACATTAGTGCAGTTCAGTCAGATTAAGTTCTTTTTTTTTTAAGTGTAAAGTTTTTTTTTTTTTTAATATATATTTTATTGATTTTTCACAGAGGAAGGGAGAGGGTTAGAGAGCTGGAAACATCGATGAGAGACATACATTGACCAGCTGCCTCCTGCACAACCCCCACTGGGGATGTGCCCATAACCAATGTATATGCCCTTGACCGGAATTGAACCTCGAACCCTTGAGTCCGCAGACCGACGCTCTCTCCACTGAGCCAAACAGGTTTTAGCTAAGTGTAAAGTTTTTAAATTATGTGTAGCACTGACAGAATTATTTTAAGTTAATAAATTTTTATTTAAGGAATTTCGCATGTAATTCCTCCCACTGCCTTAGTTCCTCCTGAGTTTGAGTATTAATCCCTTTAAAAAAATTTTTTTTTTTACTCAACCAACAGTTGTCATGTTAATCAGTTGGGCTTCTTTGACCTCTACTTAAATATGGACATACTTTAAAAATTTCCCACCTAGCCCTAGCTGGTTTGGTTCAGTGGATAGAGCACTGGCCCGCAGACTGAAGATTCCTGGGTTTGATTCTGGTCAAAGGCACATGCCTGGGTTGCAGGCTCAATCCCAGTGGCAGGATATGCAGGAGGCAGCCGATCAATGATTATTTCTTATCATTGACTAGAGGCCCAGTGTACAAAATTTGTGCACTCGCGGGGGTAGGGTACCTCAGCCTGGCTTGTGCCCTCTCGCAGTCTGGGAACCCTCAGGGGATGTCTGACTGACGGAGTGGGCCCAAGACTGCAGTTGGACAACCTCAGTGCTGCTGCAGAGGTGGGAGAGGCTCCTGCCAGCCCCACCGCCTCGCTCATCAGCCTTGAGCCCGGCTTCTGGAAGAGTGGAGCTCCCCCTGTGGGAGTGCACTGACCATCAGTGGCAGCTCCTTCATTGAGCATCTGGCCCCTGGTGGTCAGTGCACGTCATAGTGACTGGTAGTTCTGCAGTTCATCAATTTGCATATTAGCTTTTTATTATATAGGATGTTTCTATCTCTCTCCCTCTCCCTTCATCTATGTAATCAATAAAAATATATTAAGCTGAGCCAAAACCAGTTTGGCTCAGTGGATAGAGTATTGGCCTTTGGACTGAAAGGTCCCAGGTTTGATTCCGGTCAAGGGCATATACCTTGGTTTTGGGCACATCCTCGGGGGAGGGAGGGGGGGAGAGTGTGTGTGTGTGTGTGTGTGTGTGTGTGTAGGAGGCAGCTAATCAATGTTTCTATCTCATTGATGTTTTTAACTCTCTATCCCTCTTCCTTCCTCTCTTTAAAAACTCAATAAAATATATTAAAAAATACATATATATTAAAAAACAATTCCCCACCTATAATCATTGAGACCAAGTTTCTTCTAGGAATGTAGTTTAGGGTTAGAGTTAGGGTCAGAGTAGATAGAGCAGCCTGGTTTTCAATTTCAAACACCCTTTGAACATCAATAAGTTCACTCCTAAACTATCATACTCTAGAATAGTACAGATTTTTGGGATATACTAATACCTAAGATTAAAAAAAATTGACTATTAGTCTTTTCATAGTTTTAGCAGCTGTCTTTTTTCTTCCCACAGATCTAACAAATAGTTTTGTGCATGCATAAAGAAAACAAAATATTTCTCTATGGTATGTTTCCAATGGTGCAGGTCTACAGAAAATAAGCTTTTTTCCAAATAAAAATTAAAAAATGGTTAGGAATAAGAAGCACATGAAATTAAAAAAACTACATTTTACCAAATTTAAACAATAAATCTCTTGAGAATAATATTATTTAGAACATATATAATTAAAATTTAAAAAGTGATGAATTAAATATGTAGGAAATAATCCGTATTCTCAAAATAAGAAAACCAAAACTCATTCATATTTTTAAAGTATTTATCATACAGAAGATCTTAAATTTTGGATGCAGCGAGTAAAATACAGCCTCCTGCAAAAACAATTAAGAATTCAAGTTCTCCCGAGGAAATTTTCTATTGATTTGTAACCTGGCCTTGAATTTGACCTTGGTGTTCATGTCATAATAATTTGGGTCACCCTGAATATGCCATCTTTTGAACAAGGGCCTCTGCTAATTTTAAATGAACCCAGCTGCCAATTTGCATTCTTCTATTTGTATCACCGTAATTCACAATTAATAAAACATTTCCAGTAAGTAGTAAGAAGAAATGAAGGACATTTCTAGTAAGTTTAAAAATACATGTTTCATTTTTATCTTTTTGGACATAAAAAGGAAAAGAAAACAGTTTATGTCATTGAGAGCTTTGATAGAGGCCATGCAACCTCAAACTAGACAAGAGAGAAAGAGAGAGAGAGAGAGAACAGAAATTTAAAAAGAATAAATGTAGAAAAGTTTAGGCCTAAATTATTATTTTTTTGGCTCTTTCTCTTTTTTGCTCTTGTACTTTCTGTGTTTCCCTCCTTTTCTCTTTGATCAATGAAAATTAATACTTATCAAGTTTGATTCATGGGGAGGGCTTGTATTTCACAGTAAGTAGTAATCAAAACCTTTGGGTGTTGCACACCTTAAGGCCTACATTCCATCTTGCATCTGACGCTGAATTTGTCAATAATATATTGTCAGATACAGGAAATTTAGGAGTCTGGGAGTTCTTTCATCAGAGAAATAGTGAAGGAACTTAAAAGGAAAGAAACTGGGGAAACCAGGGTAGAGTTAGGAAAGTCCTAATAGATGGGTTTTCGTGCTTGCTGTTGTTTTGTTTTGTGTGTGTGTGTGTGTGTGTGTGTGTGTATAGAATGTTTCTTCACCTACTTTCACTTGTTGAAATTCTCCAAGGCCAGATTAGAAAACCTACTACTAGATCCTTTTAGTTAGGAACCACCTTCCTACTCTGAATCCCTATTTAGCACTTGCTGCTACCTCTATTATAATACTATTGGCAGTCCAATTTATCTGCCAGTAGAGAAGATTACTCAGGGCCTTGAATGCCACCCTAGGTGGTTTATGGGAGCCATTAGGCTTCTGAGCGCAGGCATGGTTTAAAGCAGGGGTGTCGAACTCAATCAGAGAAGGGGCCAAAATCTAAAATCCAGCCTAAATCGCGGGCCGAATGGTTTACTGAACAGTCATAAACTGTCATTGTGATGGAAACGCAGCGGAGTGCAGTGATGACAGCGCGGTGCGGGCCACATTGCAAGGCCTGGTGGGACAGATTTGGCCCGCGGGCCTTGTGTTTGACACATGTGGTTTAAAGTATCAAAGACAGACTAAGAAGGCAGTTCTGGTGTAAACTGAAGGAAAGGGGTGCATAAACCTCCCTCCCACAGTTCTGTGTGCCAGGCATGATGCATGGTCACTCCACAAAACGTGGGAAGCCAGGCTCCTTTCTGACCCATGGTCACCAGGCAGCCTCCACGTCCTCCTCACCCTTCCTTACCCTCTGTAATCTGAGGGCAACATCTGCACTGAAGTCGTGCTCTGAAGGCTCCGCAATGACCTCCTACATCTACGGATTTGTCCGCTCATTAACTCATCTTGTTTGGAGTCTCTCTCTCTTCTCACAACTCAAGAACTGACTACATTTTTTCCCCCTCGTGTACTGTTCAAAACGTAGAATGCATTTTTTACTGTGGAAGCTTAAAAAGCCGAGTTTAATTAGTCAAGTGGCTATGGGTGGAGCCTTGGAAGAGATTAGGAAGGGTCTTTTCGAGCGCTTTAAGACTTGAAAGGCGAGTGACAATAGTTCTCAAGGGTCTGGGTTAAGCCTGCAGATTTCTCTTTGAACAGCTCCATTCTCCAGCGTGCACGCCCGGGCTGGGGGCTGACTTCCCCGTTGTTTCTGTAAGAAGAGATCCAGGAGAGCTGGGCTTGCTTTTTATTTACTTTTCCCCCTTCTTTTTTGACCTAAGGGCCGAGCAGTGAGGGTCCCGGGGCGGATGAGGTGGGGTTGCCCCGCTAGGCTCACCCCATCCCCAGCCCCGCTCAGGCCCAGCACTCCCGGCCAAGGGGCGGGGCGCGCCCAGCGGCCACGCGCGCGGGCGGCGAGGGGGCGTGTCCGGCGGGCGGGCGCGCGCGGGCGGCGGAGGGAGCGTGTCCGGTGGCGGAGTGGGCGTGTCCGGAGACGGAGTGGGCGTGTCCGGCGGGCGCGCGCGGGCGGCGAGGGGGCGTGTCCCGCGGGCGGCGGCGGCGGCGGCGGCGGCGCGGGCCGGGTGCGCGGCGCAGCCTCCTGTGCTGGAATGTGCGGCTCCCGCGAGCTTGCGGCGCAGCAGCAGCAGCAGCAGCAGCAGAGCGAGCGCCGCCGAGGCCCCGGACCCCAGACCTCGGCGGCGGCGGCCGGGACAGCAGGGCGAGGAGAGCCCGCGGCCTGAGCGCTCCGCAGCCTCCCCCACCCCCCACTCTCGGGCCTTCGCGGGCCCCGACGCCCAACTTTTCCACCCTCCCTCCCTCCCCCCCTTCCTCCCCCGAAACTCCTGCAACAAAGAAAAGTAGTCGGAGAAGGATCGGCGACGCCAGGTCCGCAGCCCCTCCTGGCCGAGGAAGGCCGGTAAGCGCGGCGCGGGGCCGGGGGGCTCGGGGCGGGTGAGGGAGGGCCGGCCGGCCGGGCGGCGGCGGGAGGGGGAGGGCGCGGAAGGACGCGGAGCGAGGCGCTGTCCAGGGCTGATTTGCAGATACTGTGGCTCCGGCGGCGAACGGGGGCGGGCGGCGGGGCGAGATCGGATTACACCGGCGCGGGCCCCGGGGGGCTGGGCCGGGGGGCGTCCGGGGGGGAGCGGCGCGGCACCGGGACCCCCTCCCCACCCCGCCGCGGCCGCCGCTGCCCCCGCGCGGCCCGGGCGCCTGCGGAGTCGGGTGCGGAGGCCGCGGGCGCGGCGCTGCCTGGGGCCCCGGTCCTGAAACTTCCTCCTCGCCCTCCCGCCGCCCCCAGGGCCCGCCGCAGCCCCTCGCCGCCCGCCGCCCGCCGCCCCCTCCCTGCGCGGCCTCTCCCTCTCGCCGGAAGGCGCCGTGGAGCGCTGCGGGGCGGGTTGAGTCAGCCCGGGGCCCGGGCGGCGCCGCCAATGGGGCTGGACAGCGATTTCTGCGCTCGGGCCGTTTCCCCGCCGCCGCGCTCCGCGCCGGGCCGCCTGGCCTCCCGGGGCGGCGGGGCCGGGGCGCGCGTCCTCCCGCGGGGCGCCGCGGCCGAGTGAGTCCGCAAACTTCCGGGGGGCGGCGGGCGGGCGCGTGGCGGGGGGGGGCCCCCGGCGCTCGGGGCCGGCGCCGCGGAGCGTCTGGGCCCTCGAGGGGCGGAGGGCTCGCCCCGGAGCCGGGAGAGGAGAGGAGAGGAGCGGAGCGGAGACGCGGGCGACGCGGTAACTTTCCTCTTCCCTTTCCTCTCCCCAAACGCGGGTCCGAGGGCCGGGGAGGGGGCTGCCCTGGGGGAGACGGGTCTTGGCCCCACGGCGCCCCGTGTTGGTCCCCCCTTCCCTTTTTTGAGGGGAAGGAGAGGGGGGCCCAGAAAAGGCTTCGGGACGGGGGCTGGGGCCAGCTCCCGCCAGCGAGTGTGCAAACGTGTGCCGCGAGCGGGGCGAGCCGAGAGGAAGCGAGAGTTTGCAGGAGCCGCTTTGTGTTGGGTATTTGGAGAAAATGGCCGAATGCCGATTTCAGCCGGGACGCCGCCGCCGGGCCGCGCTGCTGGCGGCGGCGGCAGCGCAGGAATCCGTGCCGCACGCCGGGGTCCGGGGCTCCGCCGGGACGGCCTTCCTGGCCAGCGTTGGGGTTTCTTTAGGGGGGTGGGAGTTAGGGTTTTGGGGGGACTGTTAGGAAAGCCGATGTTTGGGTAAATGCCGATGTTTGGAAGCCTTGGGACTGGAAGGAAGCCTTTGCCCTCGGTTTGTGTTCTGTGATGGCATTCGAGTCCCAACTTTTGCGGGGACGTTAGAACTCAGCCCCGTTCGCGTTCATTACGCTTCGGGTGAAACGGATTACTTCTTTTTTTGTTTGTTTGTTTGTATTTTGGGGTTAAACTTTTTTCGTTCTTGCCACTTTTTTTTTTTTTTTTTTTTTTTTGTCTAATGTGCAAGAGAAGACCTACTTTGAGCCTATAGAGTGCCTTGGGAATGGGACCTGGTTTGAGACGAGTTAAAAGGCCCTGCTGCCTGTTTTCAAGAAGGTGATCTTGTAATGGCTTCCACTAGGCAAGTAGGCCAGGGCGAACACAATGCAAGAAAGTTGCTGGTGGTCGAGCTGGGTTGTAGGATGATTTTAAGGAGGTGGTTTGGAAGATTATTTTTCATTTGTGAAGTTTTGAGTACACCAGACTTACTTTTTTCGCAGGGAAAATAGGGTCCGTAATTTTTTCCCCCTCCCCTCAAACAGGTCAAATCAGCAAGAAAGTAAGAAACAAAGTAGTACTTTTACTCCTCTGGAGTTAGTTGAGGGAATGTAAGTTTCAGTTCAGTTGACCCGTGTATTACAGGCTTCTACTTGCTAGCCATATTTGCCTGGCTTTTGGATTTCTCTCTTTTCTGATCAGACCATTAAATGTTGAAGGCGGATTTGGGAGGCTAGTTTTTACTATTCACCTATTGAATTTAGAAGTAAGTTTAATTAACATTAAAAACGAAAGCTTCCGTTTTGTTTGTTTTTTGCACCAGAAAAAAAAAAAGTGCTTGCCAGTGGTAGACCTAGTACTTGGTGGACCTAATTATGTCACAGATTTGATAAAGTTTTTCAGAGGGGTAATAGACAATATTTTTTCGGTTATGCAGTAAAGAATTTGAAATTAACAAAAAGATTTTAAAGGCTTCTTTCTAGTAAGTTGATGGAATTCATTGAGTTTAGAGATTATATTGGAAATGTATTTTTTAAAAGATATGGCGAATTATGGTAACGTTTTGGTTTTAGACCAGTAAAAGTTGTGTTTAAACGGGTGCTTTTGTGTTTTGTCTTGTTTCTAATTCAGAATACAGTCATGGCCACCCAGGTAATGGGGCAGTCTTCTGGAGGAGGAGGGCTGTTCAACGGCAGTGGCAACATGGGCATGGCCTTGCCTAACGATATGTATGACTTGCATGACCTCTCCAAAGCGGAATTGGCTGCTCCTCAGCTCATCATGTTGGCAAATGTGGCCTTAACCGGGGAAGTCAGTGGCAGCTGCTGCGATTACCTCGTTGGCGAAGAGAGGCAGATGGCAGAGTTGGTGCCTGTTGGGGATAACAACTTCTCAGATAGTGATGGAGAAGGACTTGAGGAGTCTCCTGAAGTCAAAGGTGGACACAGTGGTCTGGAAAACATGGAACTGGAAAGTTTGGAACTCAGTGTTGCAGAACCACAGCCTGTGTTTGAGGTCCCAGCTGCCCCAGAAGTTTACAGCTCAAATAAAGAGCTTCCTCCCGAGACACCTGGAGCAGAGGACAAAGGCAAGACCTTGAAGACCAAACCCTTTCGCTGTAAGCCATGCCAATATGAAGCGGAATCTGAAGAACAGTTTGTGCATCACATCAGAGTTCACAGTGCCAAGAAGTTTTTTGTGGAAGAAAGTGCAGAGAAGCAAGCAAAAGCCAGGGAGCCTGGCTCTTCCACTGCTGAAGAGGGAGATTTCTCCAAAGGCCCCATTCGCTGTGACCGCTGTGGCTACAATACCAATCGATACGATCACTATACTGCTCACTTGAAACACCACACTAGAGCTGGTGATAATGAGCGAGTCTACAAGTGCATCATCTGCACATATACCACAGTAAGCGAGTATCACTGGAGAAAACACCTAAGAAACCATTTTCCAAGGAAAGTGTACACATGTAAAAAATGCAACTATTTTTCAGACAGAAAAAACAATTATGTTCAGCATGTTCGAACGCATACAGGTAAGAGGACCTTTGTAGGCCATACTTCAACTCACCTCCGATAGTTAATTGAGTGGGTAATTAACAATAATACTAAAAAAGGGTGGGTGGGTGGGTGGGACTAGGTTCAAACCCTGATTGGATTATTTGCTGTCTTTGTGACCTTTGAACATGTTATTTATTCCCTGTGCCTCAGTTTCTTCATGGAGGTAACTATACTATAGAATTAAGGGATCTAGTGAGGAACACAAATCAAGTACTGACTGTTATATGGAAGAACATTCAAGAGAAATTTTATCAATGTTCTTTCTAAAATACGTACTCTTAACAATTTGGGATAGACCATTTAGCCAGATGAGACTACTATTTTTGTTAGAAGATGTATTTAGTTGGGAGTGAATACATCTAGATGCATACAGTAGTTTTCCAAAGGAATTTTAGGACTTTGATAAAAAAAAGAAAAAAGAAAAAAAAGGGCTGAAACTGGTTTGGCTCAGTGTTTAGAGCATCGGCCTGCGGACTGAAAGGTCCCGGGTTCGATTCTGGTCGGGGGCATGTGCCTTGGTTGCTGGCACATCCTCGGTGGGGGGTGTACAAGAGGCAGCTGATCCATGTTTCTCTCTCATCGATGTTTCTAGCTTTCTGTCCCTCCTCCTCTCTGTAAAAACTCAATAAAATATATTTAAAAAAGAAAAGGAAAAAAGTAACCCTTGCATAATCACATTTATCAGAGCCTCAAACTATTTAAAACATTTGACTTGGGGTATTGAGCTCCTAAATGGAACAACTTGTCCCCAAAACACAGAAATGTGAGAAGTTTTTAAAGCATTGGTAGCATTATCACTCAAATTATTTTCTTAAGAAAGCAACCACATGTGGAAAATGTAACTATTTTTCAAATAAAAAGTAATGTTCAACTTATTTGAACTCACAGGTAAGAGGACCTTTCTAATTTATAAGTAAGTGCCTTCTTTCAAAAAAAGTGGGACAATCTTAAAAATATGAGCAATTGCAAATATCTCAAAATAAAGAGAATGCTACACTGCACCAACATATACCCATCATCTATACCCAACAATTAAAAATATTTTGTCACATTTTGCAATTCATTTAAAAAAACAACAACAACAGCTTTTTGAGATATACTCTACTGCCACACAATTCATCCATTTAAAGTTATGGCTCCGTGGTTTTAATATATTCACAGTGCTGGAGAGAATTATGCCAGGTGAAGTTAGCCAGTCAGAGAAAGGCAAGTACCATATCATTTCACTTAATATGTGGAATCTAATAAACAAAATAGAAAACAGACACCATGATAATTACCAGATGGGAAGGATAGTAGGGGAAGAAGTGTGGCAAGCATCAATGCCACAAAGTAACAGTACAAGAAGGGCAAGGATTCTCTGAATGCGCAGGGAAAGCAGCGTATGACAGGAAGTAGAGTGGCTATGGTGGGCAGACTAAGCCGATTTTCTGAAAAAGGTTAAAACTATAATGAAGATTGTGCTGAGGTTTGAATGTATTGAGCCCAACTGCAGATCTCAGAATGCTGGCTATTAAGAGATGCAAGCATTTTGAATTGGGAGGAGAAAAGAAGAGAAAGGGTCAAGTGATCCAGTTCTAAGCTTCATATTTTGTTTTATTATATGACAATAAAATCTTGATATGTTCACTTCAAAAAAAAAAAGGTATGGGGATGAATGGTAATGAAAGGAGACTTGACAGAGGGTGGTGAACATAATACATTATACAGTTGGTATATTAGACCTGGAACCTATATAATTTTATTAGCCAATGTCACCCCAATAAGTTCAATTAAAAAACGTATTCGCAGTGTTTTGCAGCCATCACCACTATCAATTTTAGGACATCTTCAACCAAAAAGAAACTTTCAGTAGTCACTTCCCATTTTTCTTCAGTACCTCTTAATTGTTGGCTTTCTCACGTGTTTTTTTTTTTTTTTTTTTTTTTTTTTTTTTTTTAATATATTTTATTGATTTTTTACAGAGAGGAAGGGAGAGGAACAGAAAGTCAGAAACATCTATGAGAGAGAAACATCGACCAGCTGCCTTCTGCACACCCCCCACCAAGGATGTGCCCGCAACCAATGTACATGCCTTTGACCGAATTGAACCCAGGACCCTTCATTCCGTAGTCAGACGCTCTATCCACTGAGCCAAACCGGTTTCAGCTCACGTTTTTCAAATAGATGTAACTATAGGTAGTTAATTTTAAAAAACATTTTTATTGATTTCATAGAGGAAAGAAGAGGGAAACTTCCGTTAATGAGAATTACTGATTGGATGCCTCCTGCACGCCCTCTACTGGGGATTGAGCCTGTAACTCGGCTTGTGCCCTGAGGGGAAGTGAACCCTACCTGACTTACTGGTTCATAGGTTAATGCTCAACCATTGTGGCCAGGCTAGTAGTTATTTTAATTTATATTACATTTTCCTGGTAAGGGTTGTTACATTTGAGGTCTGATTATAGGTCTGAACAATCTAGTACTGTACTCTTGGGTCATAAATGAAAAGGGACTATTGGGATGCTGTTTGGTTGTAGGAGTTGTCTCTGTAGAACTGAATTCCACAAGTAAAAGTGGGACACTGGGGAGGTAAATTGATGTTGCATTGCGTGAGTGGTAGATTTTAAACTTGGAGATGAAATTCCATTGAAGGAAAGAAGCCTGCACAAGATTTCTTTTTTTTTTTTTTTTTTTTAATATATTTTATTGATTTTGTACAGAGAGGAAGGGAGAGGGATAGAGAGCTAGAAACATCGATGAGAGAGAGTCATCAATCAGCTGCCTCTTGCACACCCCCTACTGGAGATATGCCCGCAACCAAGGTACATGCCCTTGACCGGAATCGAACCCGGGACCCTTCAGTCCCCAAGCCGACGCTCTATCCATTGAGCCAAACCGGTCTCGGCTGCAGCAAGATTTCTAAGCCCCAGAAGATTGCTTTTGCATTTAAAGTTTTAAAATCTGGTCAAGTAGCCCAGCCCGTGTTGCTCAGTGGTTGAGCATTGACCTATGAACCAGGAGGTCATGGTTTGGTTCCTGTTCAAGGCACATACCTGGGTTGCTGGCTCGATCTGGGGTAGGGGGGAGTGTGTGGAAAGGACATGCAGGAGGCAGCCGATCAATGATTCTCTCTCATTGGTCTTTTTTTTTTTAATTTAATATATTTTATTGATTTTTTTTTTTTTTTTTTTTTTTTTTTTTTTTTTTTTTTTTTTACTGAGAGGAAGGGTGATGGTTAGAGAGTTAGAAACATTGATGAGAGAGAAACATTGATCAGCTGCCTCCTGCACACTCCCCCATGGGAATGTGCCCGCAACCAACGTACATGCCCTTGACCGGAATTGAATGTGGGACCCCTCAGTCCGCAGACCAACACTATCCACTTAAGTCAAACCAGTTTCGGCTCTCCACATGAATTTGAGGTTGATATTTTCACAATAAGATTATACTTTACATAGCTGACACTAGTTGTGTGGATTTCACATTTTATTGTTAAACCGATTTGGTCTTTATATTTTCTAAAAAGATTTTTCCATCCTATTACCTTGTGATTTTTATTTTATTAAATTTTTTGGAAAATTTTTATTTGAGCCCAAACTGATGACAAAGACTAGGAAGCAAGATCTCCAGGGCTTCCTACCTTGTGATTAAAAAAAAAAACAAAAAACCCCCCCACACAATTTGGTGGTATATAAATGGAAGGTACATAATTTGTTTATGTAAATTCTGAGAGTATCTCTGCTGTTAAATGCATGGCTCTAAAAATTGTACTTATGAAAAAATAAATTTAGTGCTGAACAGTAGAGATAAGGAATGACAGCAGAATCACATTTCTAATTTTTCATAATGTAGCTGACAGTAGCCTAGTTTTCAGAGTAAGTGGGTTTCTTATTTTATTGAGTAATAAATGCTGGGTACTTTATTCTATTCTATGCTAATCTTCAGAACAATCCATTAGTGAAACGGGTTTGCCAGACATTAGCCTTTGATTACTTACTGAGAGGAAACTTATTGTTTAAAAGCTTGAAGTGCTGGGCCCAAGGTCACAAGAGATTCAAAATCCCAATCTCTCTCTCTCTCTCTCTCTCTCTCTCTCTCTCTCTCTCTCTCTTTTTAATTTCTTTATTGATTTCAGAGAGGAAGGGAGGAGAGAGAGAGAAACATCAATGATGAGAGAATCGTTGATCGGCTGCCTTCTGCACGCCCCCTACTGGGGATCAAGCCCGAAACCCAGGCATGTGCCCTTGGCCAGAATCGAACCTGGGGACCCTTAAGTCTGCAGGCCGATGCTCTATCCACTGAGCCATGTTGGCTAGGGCAATCCCAGTATTTTTATAGGTAATTAGTATAGTAGGGGCTGAGGATTGTTTTCATTAGAGTAAAAAGATTTTTAATTTTGTGGCTTAGGTATTTAACCAGTTCACAAATTGTACTTTATTTTTTATTTTATATTTTTATTTTTATTTTTATTTTTATTTTTTATAGAGAGAAAGGAAGGAAGAGAGAGATTAATTTGTTTCACCCATTTATGCATTCATTGTGCCCTGACTGGGATCAAACCAGCAACCTTGATATATCTGGACAACACTATAACCAACTAAGTTACCTGGTCAGGGTCACAAATTCTACTTTAAAAGATGACATTTTTGCCTGTATGTGTGACTGAGAAATCATTGTTTTGTAGATTGTGCCTATAGTATATAGAATTGCCCAGATAGAATCAATCTATTTTGTTATAAAGAATTTAAAAGAAAATTATCCTTTATTGACTCTTCATGTTAATCTACAGTAGTATTTAATTTTTATTTCGTTAACTTTTAGAATAACAGCTTGATAGAATTTACATATCATACAATTCACTATGGATGGGCCAGTTCTGGACATTTCATATATAAGGTATCCTCAAAAAATGTACACCCACTGAATGATTGCCACATAAATTCTTATGGGCACAAAATGTTTTTTTAAAAAAATTTAAATTCTTTATTGTTTA